ATAGCAAATTTATATTGGTCTTTCTGTGGTTTGGTCTTCATTATTCTTCAGAGCATGTTGTCGTTTCGACAATATTTTCGATATACACTGCAGAAACATTGTAGTTTTAAATTTTACATTGCAAATGATGAATCAGCAAATCAATCATCTTATTTTAAGATGCTGCAAAAGCAGCCCTGCGGTAAAACTGAATCTAATATTGCTGTTTTAGGAATGTGAACGGAAAACAGAGGAGTACAACAAACGCTACCAGGAGTTGGAGAAATTGTTTCATGAACAATGCCATAAGTTCAACATCAAAGGAGAAAACGTGTCAGCTGAGATCGTGGCCTTGGCGGATTCATTACCCGAACGACTCGAGCTGCTCGCTCAAGAGGTTCGATCCATATGGCCGGTGGCGGAACAGTACCTCGAGTTTCAGGAGATCGTTCACCGGCGAAAATTATCTCCCAAAGACCGCGCCGACAAACTGAAAATGTTGAGGTACCTACGCGAAAATGGAAACACGACCGTATTCGAGTGGAACAGAGGACAGGCACCTTCTAAGATCGAAGACTTTCGGCCAAATCTCCTGCTGGTACTGCAGTACTTGATGTAATTTTTCTTGTTTTCGCGTTAACTGTCGATGCGATTATATTTCACGGGTTTTACCTCATAGGTCCGATTCAGCACAGATGAAGAAGCAAGGAATCTGAGGTACTTCATCTATTGAAGCAGTATGCCCAAACAATTGTACTTTTTGCATTGTTTCGTCTCATCCTGTCCGGAAATGGCAAAAAATGGAAAAGTTAACTCTTGACAGACCAGCCCATACCGAATGCATATGAACAGTCCCATATGCTGAGGCCAGTCATTTCGAATTCTGGCTTAATGCTAGAAATTCCATGGGAAGTTCCCAGGGAGTCCAGATTTTGATTCAGAATTAAGGTTTAGAAATTGCAGCATTTGTATAGATTTTCCAATGTATCATTCACCTGGTTTAGCACAGAATCAATGCTATATACGCATTTTAAACGTTGAGCATTTACAATTTATAGTCATTCTTCATCTCTGTCTGACGTCTTGAGGACAGTCCAACTAGGTGTAGTTTTCTGCCATTATGGACGGCCGTCTTTACTACACTTCACATTCGTAAAAGATCCGGCGAGAACATAAATGTATATTAATTTAACTGATACATAAATGGATATAGCCTCTAGTGGCCATAAGGTTTAGACCAAACAATGACAATCGCTTCGGGGGGTTTCAAATCTGCTCCTAGCTCAGTTGCCGAAGCCATTGTGACGATTTTCTCATTCTGTTAATATTTTCTTGGTTCTTTTTCCATTTTTGCTTCGTAGTAAACGTCCATATAAAGTTCCTCATCATATTTCCATTCTTTCAGTCTTATTGTTTCAGTTCTTTTCTACAGAGAAGTCATGATCAGTAATTATCCTAGAATACATTCTTCATATATTAAAAATCTACGCATTCTTCATCTTCATTTTCCATGGCAGCGTATCCGTTCGGATCGCGGAAGCAGACGCGTCAGACAGAGCTTCCAATGTTTCCGATCATGTGCCAGTATCTGAGTATTGGCAGCAGACAACTGGAGTCTGAAACAGGCTCCTTCCATATATTTGCACCAGGTTAATCTTGGTCGTCCCCTGGGCATTCTGCCGCTTGTTTGGGCAAGAAACAGTTGCTTAGCCTTCCTTTCTGGACGCATTCACTACACATTACCAAACCATCACAGCTTTGACTTCTCAGTCTGCACAGCCAGAGGCTATGCACTAAGACTCTCCCGGATGTCAGTATTCCCAACCATGTCGAGCCGCGTAATGCCAGCGATTCGCCTATAAAAGCCCATTTCAGCAGCTTGTACCCGGATTCGGTTTTTCAGTCATGGTCCACGACTCTTGACACTACTTAAGCATGGCGATAAGGATGGACCTAAACACGCAGAGCTTAGTTTTCAGACG